AGAGAGAGAGAGAGAGAGAGAGAGAGAGAGAGAGAGAGAGAGAGAGAACATTGAATTGACACCTCATCACGTTGCTATATGTATGTACTGTTTCGGTTTGTAATGTTTTTCTGTCATTGTTTGAATTAAGAATCCATTATGTCCTCATGCAGAAGGCAAAAATGCATTCGATATTTTCACAAATACATTTTTAACTGAAAATCTTTAAAGAACCCCCCTCCTTCCTTGACTTCCTGGATATGTGGGATTTCCATGTCACAGCAGTCTGATTACAATAGCGTTGTTGCATTCACACACACACACACACACACACGAGTCTTCTTCTCAACAACACACACATTAATGTTGCTCCTCTGTCTCCCTGCAGGTGAAACATCAAGCCAGTGGGAGTACAAGAGATGGAGAGTAAATGAGAGCTTGCTGTTAGTGGTGTGAGCCATTTCCAGGTGAAGCAAACTGAATTAAATTGAATCAAGCTGAACTGATCTGAACTGGAACGACCTGAACTGAACTGGAACGAAAGCTTCAGCTGGACAGGACACCGACTGGCTGAGGTTTTGGGAAAAAATATTCAGGCAGAGAAACAACTTTGAAATAATACAGATAAAAACCTTCCGTCATTGATGCCCGTTGTTTCTGGGAGTGCTTCCTTGCTCCATTTCCTATTTGTTCTTTCACGTTATTACCTTTGTATTATGTTCTATGACATAAATTAAACCCAAATGAATTTTGACACTGACACAATGACAGCTTTCTCTTGTGTGCATATATCTTTGTTTTCTACACAGCTCATTACTTGCCATTACGTGTGTGTGGTATTGTTTTCGCCTTGTGAAGTCTGCGTGTGTGTCTTCATGGTAAAATGTCGTCCTGGAGACACCTGTAGCAGGAACTACCACAGAGGAGGTTTTGACAAACACGGGACTTTCGTCCAGGAGTCGGCTGTTTGTTTTTCCGTGCGAACGTAAAAGTAAAAGCTGACATTTTGCCACGTCAGTCGTTAGCGTCGTTAGTCACGTGACGTCCGTGCGGTTGTCAGGTACGTACCAACGCTCTTTCCCTGAACCTTAATTTGACGCTTTGGTTTGAGCGTGGTCGTACGCATGGTTTTTTGAGCGTACACGAGGTTCACGGGGGCATGCCCACCCTAAAAATGTATAATTTTCCTGATCTGAATATGAGCATTTTTAAGGTGATTGGAGAGCAAAACTTGGATAACAGCATTAAAACCATTAGTACAAATGATATGTCAAAAAGTAATACATGAGAATCATTGTAACACTTGATTCTCATGTATTACTTTTTGACAGATCATTTGAATGATCCCAGTGCAATCGAAAAATGCTGAAACGGCTGAAATGATCACAAAACATCTGTAAATGTTGCTAAACAATGTTGCCAATGTTTAAAGTGTTAAAGTAAAAGTAACGCAACTGTTCTCTCTCACTCTCTGTATTAAATGCCTCTTTCTCTTTCTCTGTCACTCCTCACTTGTCTCTCTTGCCAATGTGTATATAAAAAATCCTTTCCTAAAATTACATACACCATCTTTATTTCGTCTTTGTGTTTGAGTTCACATCATTTAGGATTTCAATTATAGAAACGTGTCTCAAGCACATCAACATAAGCAAAATGTGTGTTTTCATTATATCTATACAATAATGGTATGTTTTTACACTCTGTTGTGTTGTTAAATTGAGCCTATAGGTTCCACTATATAAACCAAAGAACATATACTGTATTTCTGTGATGATAACAGTTTGAATTGGATCAAGTGAGTATTTGTTTGTGTTAAACAGCTAAATGCTAATCATACCCTGGTGGCAGTAGGCAGTACCTGCTCTTCCTCTCTCATCTCCATCACCTTCTCTCGTTCTTGGTCTCCGTCTCCTCATCTTGTCCAGTATCTCTTCCCTTCCCAAAGCTGAGATCACCACCATCTCATAGGTCTTAAAAAGTTGGCATTTTGTAGATATTTTTATATTAATATTTGAACATACTTGGAGTATATACGTATATATTAAATGTTCATAAGCATTTAAACAGCAAAGCTGCTATAATCGATATGTTTTACAATAATGTATAAAAGATTCAAATGTAAAAGGGGTCGCTTGTAGTGACCTACAGAGAGTTATCACCTGAATCTGTAGCTCTCCGTTCTATATTGATTTCCAGCTCATTGTTTACTGGCCCACATTCACTCTCACCGCTCTCATAGCGTCATTTTCTGCAACCGCAGGCAGCTGTTTACAGCGAAGGAGCTCTAAAAACTCTCTGTGCACCACCTGCTCAGCAACAGTTAGGGAACATAGTGGGGCATTTAGCAGCTAAAGAGCCAGATATCCCCTCAGGAGCCATTAGAGATGAGCAAAAACAAAAAAACAGAGCTAAAAGAAAGTGAATATTGGATATTTCATTCATAAACACAATCATGACTAAATGAAGCATTAACTGCTGGAAGTGTAAATCAGCAACTGTTTGCGAACAAGTTTCTCACGCACGTTTTCTCACGCACGTTTCTGAGAAGCTGAAGCATGTTTCAGAGGCTTTCTGTCCACATTTGGAGCTGAATGTGTGTCTTCTTCTGTACTGGACATTTAGAATACAGCACCATGTCATTTCATACATTCAATAAAGATCAAATGCCTAGTTAAAACCTTCCGTTCTGACAACATGTGTCTTTTATTATCATATATCTGGAATTTAAAAAAAATGGTAAGTATAAAGCTGTGTGCTTCAACACAATCTAGCAAGTGCTGTGCAAGGACACACACAATCTCACACACACACACACACACACACACACACACACACAGACAGAGAACAGTAGCCCCTGGCTATCTGCAACACTGAGTGTAAATGATCGTATATCTGTGGTCATAACTCACAGCCCTACAGGCTACTGATGGAAGATGACACCCAATGTCTGTCTGTGTGTTGTGTGTGTGTGAGAGAGAGAGAGAGAGAGAGTCATTTTAGACTCTTCATGTCGCTTCCCTTCTGTCTCTTCTCATCTTCCTCATCCTCCTCCTCGTCGATGCCTCGGGCGATGAAACTGACTCTGTTATATCAGACCAACACCCCCAAGCCGTCCTTTTCCCTCCTCCCCTCTACACACTCGCACACATTTGTTTGCCCACACTCTAGAACTGCATTAGTGTGTGTTTAACCCTATCGATTAGGTATTGTCTATTGAAACAAATCAGGGTGCTCCATCACTGATATATCTGTGTTTACGGGGCGGAGATGAGTTGATATTGATGGATGGACTGATTAATCAGTCAGCATGGCGGAGTGAAGAGCATGGACAAACAAACACATATAGTGACAATGGCCTGATTTTAGCTGTGGGATAAAAACTAATTTAAGAGGAAGACAACTATTTTTTTCCTTCTTCTTAATAAATGTTTTACAATAGAAGTCCAACAGCTTAAAAAATGTGAAAATGTCACATGTACTTTATGAGATAAGTCTTTGTGGTGTGGATGAACAACCAGCAAGTTATGTGGTTAAGAAGTGAAGTACTGGACTGGGACCCCCCCTGTGGAAATTTATGGTAACATTATCTCTACATCTATTTTTTTTTTTTACAAATCAGTCTGTCGCAGCATTCAGAACAAGTTAGTTAACTCAAACATGTCTTCTCTTTAGTCTGCACTTGAAGTCAGACATTTTACTTGTAAGCCAATCACCATTACACATGCAAGTGTTTTAATACTTCCCTTTATTGATATTTTAGAGTAATCTTTTTGGGAAATACTTTTATTTGCTTTCTTGCTGAGAGTTAGATGAGAGTAATGACACCACTTCCAGTCTTTATGCTAAGCTAAGGTAATCGACTACCAGCTCCACAGTAGCTAATGTTAACACATGCGAGCAGCATCGATCATCTCATCTAACTCTCATTAAGGAAGCAAATACGCCTATTTCTTAAAATGTCTATTTAACCATTGCTTTAAGATTCAAGAGATTTAAACTACTTTTTGATCGTCATAGAAGCCCAGACACCTCCCCGGCCAACAAAAAAAGGAATGAAGAGGAAGGTAAACCTCAACAAGGAGCTGATGGACAGCGTAAAAAGTAAGCTCACCTATGGCAACATGCACAAACACTTGGGATCGATTTGTTTTAAATCAATTCATGTTATTTCTTCTGCATGATAAATTGCCATGATGGGTTATAATTGAACTTACCCATTCCCAGAATCACTGAATAAGTTTTGCCATGGGACGTATTTGACAGGAACTGATTTATTCATAGGGCCAGACTTGGTGAGTCTATATTATATGGTGATATGTTTTATCAATATTATTATAATGCAACTGAAAACAGACAATTCTTCTTGTTTGGTACCTTAAAACCAACGTGTCCTCTAACCAAAATGTCAAAATATATAGATTCCTGATGTGAACCGCTTTCGTCAGGATGACATTCAACGCCAAAAACGACTTCTTTTATTCATTTACATGTTTTTTGATAAATCGCAGTTATAAAATGATTCATATGATTATCTGATCTGACACCACTGTGGTTTAGATTTAGTTAAGTTTAAACAGGTAAAAAGGTTAGGGAACAACACAAGCAATGCTGACTGTTTGCAGGATACAAGAGGATCCTTGGTCGGTAAATATAAGTAGAGATCATTTTACATATGAACAAACAACTAAGCCGTCGGTTTTCTGTTGAGGACAGTCTCTGTAAAGCATCCGAGCTTCCACCCTAACCGACCTGGTGACAGAAAATGAAATGAAGCGTGGAAGACAGTGATCTCCTAACTGTAATCACACTGAGGTCTCATCATGTCTCATGTCATAGTCAGAAAAAACTAATCGTGTAGTATATTGTCCTGTTACGGTATCATAAACTGTCTGTGTTACTGCATGTATGGCAGCTACTGTCGTGGCAGAGAGGTGTAGGTTTGTCATAGAGCATGCGAACGCACACACACACACTGTAATTGAAAACCTACTCCTTTAACATTGTGAAATGCCCTGAAGCCCTCTGGAATACTCTCTTCAACGCACCTCTCTCTCTCTCTCTCTCTGTCTCGCACACACACACACACACACACCTACACACACACAGACAGCAAAACGAGAAAGAGAAATGGTTTGACATTATTACAGTTCAGCCACAAGGTCAGTGAAGAGGCATCTGCTTTTCTCACTCCTCTCTCCTCTCTCTCTTTAGCAGCCAAGGCATTCACCAAACATTCGATGTCACCTAAAAGGAGACTTCTGCTAATTATCTGTTAGATTCGTAGGAGGAAGACAGATCGACAGACTGAAAGGCAGGTGACAATAATGTAGAGAAGCAATCTCTTTTCTTCTCTGGGGAGACATTGAGCTCCGTTGTTTTTATAATGATGTATTTTAACATACGTATTATAATTTGCACGTCAGGATTTCACTTCAAATATATTATAAACCATATGACAGCATCATATATACTGTATATATATATATATATATATATATATATATATATATATATATTAGTGCTGGACAAGTTAACGCGCTATTATCGCATTAATTAATTAACGCCGACAATTATTTTATCGCGCGTTTTTTTTATTTATTATTAAGCGGACATTTTTAACACAAGAACAGGCCGGCCGGCAGCGAGTGGTGATCAGCTGTTTGTGTGGCGTCTCTTCCGTCTCTTCCTGTTTCCTTCACCTACAGTACATTCCCCTGGGTCCTAAGTCCCTCCATGTACAGCTTCTTATCACCCTCTATGTACCAACGTACATTTATAACAAATACCACACATATTACGGTAATCAGCGTTGCATATGTGTCTGACCAAAATACCAAAAAAAGCAAAACGTTTTTAAAGTGTTTTTGTTTGGAATATGTATAATAAGCATATCATTTAGTTATCGCTACTGAGAATTTAACAAACATAAAAAAAAAGAAAAAAACATGACGTAGATATATTTCAAATATCATCTCTTACACACATGAAGATAAAGTTGTGAACACCGGCTGAATATCTATTGTCAGAATCATTATAACTGTATTATAACTGCTACTGTGTAAAGGGAATACTGCTGTTAAAAATCACCTTATTTGTTTAAAGTGTTTACAAACCAAATGTTATTGCACTTTTGTTCATATAGCAGTACTTTTAAAATAAAAGTGTGCAATACACTACTTTTGAATTCATTATTGAATTTTGCACAGCATAATGCGATTAATCGCAAAAAAATCATGCGATTAATTGCGATTATAAAATGTAATCGTTGCCCAGCACTAATATATATGTATAAATATATTGTTATTGTTATGTGAATGCAGAATATGTATAGAGTTGACATTTGGCCTCTAGGCTTTGTTGTTACTCCCTTCACACGATGTAACGGTACAATTACAGTAATTACCAAATTTCCTCTGTAGGCTTCCCCCGGCTCTCCCTCTCTCTCTCTCTCTCTCTCTCTCTCTCACACACACACACACACACACACACACACACAAACAGACAATTGTGCCTATATCACTTGGCTGATAAATGTGTGAGAGTGTGTGCGAGTCATCAGTTTGTCCCTTGAAAGAGGCTGAATAGGCCAACAGCCAGAGAGTGAATCAGTGCCGCACACTCAGCCTCCGGTTCTCCAAATCACATGGCTGTGTCTGCAGACAAGGACGTCACACTTTCTAAACTCTCAACTACAGACATGCATACAAGCTGTTGAACGTTATTGTCTTGCAAGCACTTTGACACATTTGATCCAGAAACAGAAAATAATAATCCCTAAATGTTACTCAAACAGCAAATAGCACGTGTGCTGTAAACAATAGTGTCTATTGTTAGAGATATGACACAGTTATGTTTTAAATGTTGCCCACATGTTGTATCATCTTATCCCTTCTCCCCTGAACACATTTCCTTACTTTCCATCTGATTTATCTTGTCTCTTAATCTCCTTCCATCTCATCCTATCTTACCGCATTTCGTTCCTTTTCATCATTTGTTCCATCTCTTCCCATCGTCTCTGAATAACCTCACGTCACTCCTTCCCTTACCCCTTTTATAATGAAGCATAAAATAATGCAATTCCTCCTGAAGTCATATCAAACTGTGGCGTGTCATTTAATATGCTGAACGAGCAGGAGAGCAGAGTCCTAATGAAGTGCAGGCAGCGACTGGAGTTGATGGCGTTGATTGCCACAAACACAAAACACAATGCAGTCTCAGTGTGAGAGACAACAGCTGACAAGACTCTTTTCTCCTCATCACAACAGGAAACAATTCACAGACATGTCTTTATTTCTCTCTCTCTCTGTGTTTCTCCTCCTATCTCCAGTCTCAGGCCTTTTATTCACTACATGTAAGGCTGATTGTTTTCAGTTTTGTCATTAATTCTATATGCGAATGAGAACTGCCATTTGCAATGCTGACACTTTTATTTGAATTGATTATTGTTACATTTTCTTTAAAGGTGCAGTGTGTAGGATTTAGGTGAAGTTGCAGATTGCACCCAACTGGACACGCCTCCGCTCACCCCTCCCTTTCCAAGCATGTCTAAGAACTGTGGTGGCCCTTAGGTGTCGTAAAAACATGACAGGCCCTCTCTTGAGCCAGTGTTGTGTCCGTTTTGGGCTACTGTAGACAACATCACTCCCCATGTAGATAAAAAAGAGCTCATTCTAAGCTAACAA